TATCAAACATCTTAGGCATAACATGGAACAGGTATTTTTCATCAAGTATTGATATGTTGAACTTTAAGTCCCTACAGAATATGATGAAAAAACATTTAAAAATTAGAATGTATTTTTAAAAATAAGCATAAAGAATTATATAATTCTTATGTTTACAAATAAGTCCAGAAATCTAACCATATACAACCTTGAAGGAGGACAGTCCCACAACATTCCTTTTCCTGTCTCTTACCTTCATTCACCACCCCCTTCTTTTTGAACAATCATCTACCCGAGAGACAGCACAGCAGCAACTGGGCATGTCATGACAATCAGCCAGTATTCAGAAGACCAGAATGACAGGCTCTTTGATGGATAGATCAAGGGTTCTTAGCAGGATATGGACTTAGCTGTAATGCTCCCAACTCTCTCCCTGCTCTGCACCCCCACGAGACGCTCTACCTGGGTAGGTCCAATGACTTCCAAGGAGCGCTGTGCAGTGACAAGGCAGGTGAGAACAGGGCTGAAGTATACAGGAACTGGGCTGTAACTATTGAAAATCACATACTCCAAGTGAGTCCTCTCTAAATGCTAAGCACTGAACAATGAGCTTTTTGAATTTCAGAGTATGTATGTTCTAGGAAGGCACTAGATATACAATTCAAATATGCAAACTAATGTGATGATGCCACCACATGGCAAAGAAGTCAAATTATAAACTCAGCACAAGCATAAGATTTCCTGATACAGTACATAAAAATAAAATGAGCTAAAATCTGTTTTTTGTACTTTATTCTTTACACCACTGATTCTTCCTTTTCTTATAAAAACTACATTTAGAAGACCCTGTTTGCTCTGTAATCGCACCTGACTTGGCTGTGAAGCTTCTAGTCCAAACTTCGTCACTTTGTACCTATAATTAGTCCAACCCAATAGTAAACACCTTAATTTTCTGTTTATACTGTTAAAACACTGATGTATAAAAATACCTCATCATATTAAACTCAGTACCCAAGGTAAATAACCCCATCATCCCAAAATCTCTCTACACCTCCATAGGATACTCACTCTCTCACCCTGAGACAGCTTTGAAACCTTGCCTCCCTTTTCTACTCCCAAGTGGTTAGACCCCCCCTACTTCACTGAGCCATTAGAAATTAGAGACTCCCTTATTTCCCTGCCATCAAAGTCGACACCTGCACACATCTGTACTCATACTCTGCAGGCCACATGGTTCAGCATTTCTGGAAAACGGGACTTTGAAGAACTTTCCAAACTTCTTCCTCTAGTCCTAAGCACTACCAAGTGGACGGCCAACTGCCAAGGAGAACCATGGTGATGTGGACAGCCAACCTCTTCTCTCCTGACTGTTCAACTAAGATGTCGTATCAAACTAAGCAAGCTCCAAAAAACTTTCCCATTCATCCTCCTTTTCTTCTGCTGGTTACTCCTATGTCAGCAAAAGGTACCAACCACCACTGCCCCAGGATCAACACAAAACAAGAGTAGCTCTCCACGGCATTCATCTTCACAGCCTACTTCTAAATGCACCCACAAGTGCTATCAACTACAACTAAAAGAAGGCCCTCTCTACGTCCACTCCTGTTGTTCTAGTCCATCTTCCCCTGAACTCATCCTAGTGGCCAAACGTCCCTTTTCAGAGGCACTGAAGTCCACCTCACAATGGCCTGGTAAGCTCCAAGAAACCCAAAAGATTAAATCTCTCTCTGACCCTGACTGACTTCTTCCTGCTGACTCACTTCCTATAAACACAGCTTCACTCTTAGCTCTTCTGACAGATGGAGCTAGGCAAGGCAGGTACCTTCTTCAATTACCCCTTAAGTACCTCATTCAACTGAGTTCACGCATATCCTACTCTCCGGCATCATCTCATAGGCCAGATGTTTCCTTAGCCATATCTTTTAAAACCTGGTTCTTTTTTATTGTCTAAACCTTGATTTGTAACTGTAATCTCAACAGGCTTTCCTTAATCACCAGTTTGTGTTACTTCACATTATTTTATCTGTTCTGATGACAGGTGAACTGCTTATATCCTTGGGCTGCCACCTCCTCACTATTCTCACCTGAGCCCTACACACATCATGAAACAGGCTTGACTTTCCTGGCAACATGCTTATGGCAATGACTGTCCAGAATCTTAAAGCATTTTCTTCATTTTGAACTTATAAAGGGGGATTAACTCTCAGTGCATAAAACTAATTATCAAAAAATACTACTTAGAATATTTATACTGATGAATGATTAATTTTAATTTTATGAGATTAAGCAATGAGTACTTAACAGGAAGAAAATATCACAAAAATAAAGAATTAAGTTTTCAATATTTATTGAGTTTTATAAAAACACACCAAAATTTTCAACACAAACTATTTTGTGGTATGGAAAGCCTAAAAATGAACATCAACCATAAATCCCCAGGTTCCTGACACACATCTAGGTTATTCTTTCATTTGATTCCTTGCTATCCCCATGGAATAGAATACAGAAACTTTGTGCACAGACAACGAACAACATTGCCTGCTCTTAGCTGCTATCGGTGAGAGCTCTGTGCAGTTATGTTGGTCTCTTGTGAGAATGTCAATGCTGTGACAGTAGAGTTTAATTGTGCACTTGGCTTCAGGTGCCCTGGAAATCTAACTAGTGTCTGTTTGCTTTACTTCTGTTTTACTTCAAATTTAACATTCACTGAAGAATGGACAAGAATACAGAAACTGTTTTTCCGAGTTCAGCATATGAAGGTCTAAGCACTGATTCCGGGAGTATAGCCTGGAGTGGGTAATCTGGTAGGAATGTGGAGTCTGAAACCATCCATAACCTCCACTTCCTTGTCACCAACTTTCACCTTTTCCATAAAAAAAGAAAGATCAAATAATAAAAGAGGTCCATCTTGCATGTCCTTTTGCATGATCAGGCACACTTTAAACAACTTAAACATCAGAGATAACTTACATACGGAGAAAAAGAAATAGTCATTGAGTAGTCACCATGCTTCAAACCACTAGGTTGGAAGGAAGGAGAGACAGAGTGGGAGGGAGAGAGGGAGTTTAATATATACTGTAAAATAAATACAGGAAAAAAAATAAATTCTCATATGAATTACAAATTAAATCCCAACAGCACTCTATTAAAAAAAAAAAAATCTTCAATCCCTGGTATCGCAAAAAAAAAAAATTCTTTACTTCAATTATCACAGCTAAGGCAGTGTGCACACACGACAGCAGCACATTCCACACACGCACTGCTTACACTGGCAGCACATGTGTTTGGCCTTTTTATAGGACACACTTAGTGGTCATGCTGTTTTGTCAAAAGGTTCTTATTTTTATCATATAGTGCATAGTTAACAGGAACACAAAATATCAATAAAATTATTAAATTATTAATATGTATTGCTTTTAGAATAGACATCGACATTTTTACATCAGCTGTATACTTCCTTACAAAACCTAAAAAGAACATCATAAATAAATTACTGTATGGCCCACAATGAACATACTAATAGAACTCCACCACAAAAATAAGCTCTGCTTCAACCATCACACCCAAAATGGTCTTCACATAACTGCATGCTCGATGCACATGTCCTGCTCACGCTGAAAGCGTTATGTGGTTAACTCAGCTTCCCTTTCCCACATGGAAGTCTTGTCATGTCGCCTGTCTGCCTGTTTTGTCCACTTTTTTTCTTAATTCCCTGAGCAGAAACATTGTTTTTCTTCTGTTGTAAATGATCTCTTAGGAGCTCTAGTAGAAAAACTTCTCCGTGGTATTTTGCATGTTATTCTCTCTGCAAACTATCAAATTGTTTATGCCACACATGTTCAGGATCAAGTAAAACACAACCATCAATTAATGCTTTGTTTCAGGCCACATCACAGTTGCATCAATATCTACTCTGCATTAGGCTTTGTCTCCCTGTCGGGCTTCCGTTTTGTCCAGGCTTCCCCATTAATATTTCCCCAACATGATGAAATGCTGGCATCAGCAGTACTAGTCTGTTTGTCTTTGCCACACAGGAGGCCAATGCTGTATCTTTCTGAAATCCAAAGATTGTACTGTAAAACTCTTTCATTTGGAATTTCTGCTTTGTTCCTACACAGTTCCTGTACTCCATTACCAGATGTAACATCAAGTGGAAACTGATGAACCAATTCCAATTAGTTCAGGATATAGGAGCAACGAGTCTGTTCATAACATCAGCTGGTTTATTACTGTACAAAAAGGACCTGATGATCAAATTCCAGGCTAAATAGCTAAACTGAAAGCACCATGTCTTTGCATCTACAAACGCATATATTTTTATGCCATATTTTGACCCATCACTTTTCTGTAAGTCTTTTACATTCCTGTAATCATTATTTATTTGAAGTTCCTAAGTACAGAAGAACTATGAATGCTTTCAGTTCAGCTAGAGAGGTGTCCAAAATAAATACAATTTTGTTTTGTTTTGTTTTGTTTTGGAGGAACCGGGGATTGAACTCAGGCCCTCCTGTAATGAAGGAGGGCCCTGTAATAAATAGTTCTGAATAAGGCTATTGGTGCATACAGAACACTTTACTTGCATTTCAGCCTTCATGTAATACATAGCATCATGGAGCATTTTGTCTGTTACAATCAATTTCCAACTGAATGGCCGTGCTGGCGTTCTGTCCAATACACTTCACCCCTTCCAAGACCCTCACTATATTTCTGGGCCTAATTCTAACACTGGACTACTGCATTTGGTTGCCATTTTGCAACATTTCACCTAGCCAAATACGTGCTCACACTGTTGTTTTCTTCCTCATCTGCATCATGCCCTGTGTCTCTATCAATCGAATCTTGTTCCACTTCACTATCACAGGAACTCTGGTTCACATGGCCAACATCAAATTCACCATCAACATCACTGTCACCATCCACCCCCACCAGCTTCTGTTACAAAGGTATGTATTTTACTACCATGGATCATCTTCATCATCCATGCATGAGCAATCTGATGACTCACTTTTAATCTCCAGAAACTTGCAAATCTGTTTTTTCATGTGACACTGTACTGAATTGGGCTATTTCTACAGAAAAAAAAAAAAAAAGAGAGAGACAGAGAGAGAGAAAAAAGAAAGAAAACTTTTTTCACAAGTCCTGGAGCAGTGTGGGTTTATTGGACCCTCTTTGATGTTCAGGCAAACATACACAAAGCCAGTTAGATAGAGCATAAAGATGAGTCCAAATTCCTTTTGCCACTTTTACTCACATGCAGTTCTTGCATTCCTCATACCAAATGCAGAAACACATAGTTTGCTTCCTGTATGACTCAGAGAAAGGAACTGAGATGCATAGCCAACTACTATAAGCTCAAGTACAAAATTATGGTAGAAAAGTAAGGGACAGGTCCGCTAGACCTATTCTTATACCCCAAAAGTTAAGATGACTCTTAACATCATCCCTGATACTTACTTGGATATATTTTCATTCTATGAGAAATGCAACATACATTTTCATTCTATGAGAATGAATATCAATGTTACCACTCAGAATGACTGCCTGACTCAATAACTTACAGTATTTTCAGGGACATCTAATAGTTTCTTACCTAAAAAAATTAAATAAAATAAAAAACTGATAACATACTGAACATTACAAAATAAAAGCATAAAATACTAGGGCCAGCCTGATAGCTCAGTGGAATAAACCACCTGCTTAAGCAGAGCGCAGTGGCCAGGGTGGGATCCCTGTGTGCTGCGCTGGCCTTGCCCCCAGGGCGCACTATGACTGTGATTGACACTGGGCATGGTGGCACGCGCCTACAACCCCAGTACTTGGGAGGTTGAAAACAGGAGGATCACTACAAGTCCAATCTACACAGTGAGACCCTGTAGGCCCTGTCCTAAATACAGAAAAAATAAAAATAAATATAAATACAAGCATACAAATACTTAACCATTCAGGACTCTGAATAATGATATAATATAACTAAGATCAAATTTTCAGACAGCTGAGTCAAACCTCTTTAAATACTAGGATGTCTTTTCATTATCTGGAATAGAACTATCCCAAAATTACGCATTCCTATCTCCTTCAACAAAACATGCTTAACTTCATTCAACCTTTCTCTCTATCTACACTTTGTTCCAGAAGAGCACTACATTTCTCTCCCTACAATTTTAGCTATAGGGCTTTTTTTTTTTTTTTTCTTTTCCGTGCAACCAGGGATTGAACTCAGGCCCTTGTGCTTGCCAGGCAAGTGCTTATTCTACTAAGCCATCTCCCCGGCCCAGTTCCAAAGAAATTAATCAGAGTTCTAGGTTATCTGGTTTGAGCACTTTGGTACATGATTTATCTTTTACAAATAGGATGGAAGGGAAAGGAACAAGTTTGGAAGAAAAACCAACAGGAGAGGTATATATTAATGAAACCACATATCTGGCCTGATATCTATTGTTTTTATATAAATTATGTCAGTGCCAATCTTAAGTTAATTGAATAAAAAAATTTACTTTTTTTTGTAAGAAAGAAAACAAGTTACCTGAAAAAAGCAAGGTAACTACATAATTCCAATGAGGGATGTATGGGGGGGTATTATTAACATCAGAACAACAGGCATAAGTTAGGGCAATTCCAAGCAAAATAAAAGGTCACTCAACTTAAAAATGAGGAAATGTAGCAATTGTGCTGCTGAGTTATAATGTTCTTAGTTTACATGAATTACACCAACTTGCTTGCTCTCTCCTTTATGTTTAGAAAAAAGTGACAAGGAATTTGTATGGTAAATAGAAAAACTAATGGGCTGTTAAAGATGTTAAGCAGGGCTGGGGAGAGCCCAGCAGTCTAAGCACCTGTCTGGCAAGTGCAAGTACCTGGGTTCAATCCCTGGTACTGTATGCCATGCCGGCCACCGAAACGAGGCAGGCGTGGGGGGTGCACGCCTGTAATCCCATCATGGGAAGGCTGAGACAGGAGGATCACTACGAGTCCGAGCTGCATTGCAAGACCCTGCACCAAATAAGTAAAGATATTTTTTTAAAGGATGATAAGCAGCAATCCCTTCCACAGCTTTCTAGCAACAAGAGGACCTCTAAGATTTTCATTCCATAGTTGTGATTATTTCAAGTTTCCTCCAGGATCTGAGTATTCCCCCATGGCTAACAGAAAAGGGAAGGTAGGGATCAAGAGGTAGATGGACTTAGGTAAGAGGAAAACAATTCTGTGCATTAAATATATAACCTAATGAAATTATTAACCAACTATATATTGCTGTATTGCTTTTATATTTACTTCAAATTTTATCAATCAGAGACCCAACAACTATTTATAAGAAAGTCACATATGCAAGTTCATAAATAGTTTTTCCCACCATCCCTACACTTCCTATTTTCTTTTTAACATAAGGACTTTAATAGATATGTAGAGGCTATTCATTATAGTGCAACACTACTCCATTAATATTTATTGTTATGGAACAATGTTGTCAAAAACCCTAGATAATAGGATTACTATAATACAGCCAAAGCATGTACACTGGGAGTCACAAGTAATTGTAAGAACATGATGCGCATGTGTACATGCATAGATGTATCCAAATGTCACAAGAACTCTGCAAACTCTGATTAGTTAAGGACGATGAGTTCTGGAACCAGAAAGCCTAGGTTTTGGGGCCTGGGAGATGGCTCAGTGGAATAAGCACTTCCCTGACAAGTGCAAGGACCTGAGTTCAAGCCCCGGTTCTGCCAAAAAAAAAAAAAAAAAAGAAAGAAAGAAAGCCTAGGTTTTAGTCTCAATTTTACTACCTGAAAGCAGTAGTATTTTAACTACCTAGCCCTTCAATGCTGTACTTGGCAGAGGTAATAATGAGCTAATTCCTTAATTAAGTAAATTAAAATAACTCATGGGATTATTTTAAGTCTTAAAGATGACAAAAATCTGACGCAGCAGACCACACCTCCAAACCTGGAGCCATCTCAAGCATCAAGGTGCTTCCAGGAACTAAAAGTCCCCAAGATGAGATTCCACTGCATGCCCGAGAGACACCCACACTAGGGGCAAGCTCAGAATCTGACCACGCATCAGAGCTGCTATATCCAGAAAAGGGTCCTGCCTGTCGAGTCTCCTTTGGGTCCACCTCCTCCTGAAACCTCAACGAACTCCAGCAGAAGCAGGCTGTGCATGTCCCCTATCACCACTGCTCAGAGTACATTTATTCAGAGAGAATTCAAAGCCAATGAAAAGACCATCTTACCTTTTTGAAAATTTTTCCATTTGGTTGTACTTCATCTTCCTCATTTAAAATCTCACGTGTCCCCAAGAGTCTTTTGTCTTTAAATTTGTTTTTGGCATACATAAAAACTTTATCTAAAGTATCACATCCAGGATGTAATACTGAGGCCAAACCATCCAAACTATGAATAGATCTGTATGCAGAATCAGGTTTTGAATTTACAGGCCTTGCTTTAATTTGGTTTGATTTCTCTTGTCTTGACTCCGACAAAAAATAAAATGGAATATAAGTTAAAATAGTATAAAGTGATATTACAAAATGTATGAAATGTAAAAGAATGGGGTGGATGGTCTGTTTTAGCTTCATGGTAGATGGCTTGGAAGATGCGTGGTTGTTCATAACTGTTCAAAATGCAGGATTAACAGATTTCAACAAGAATCTAAAAGAAAGAAAAAGAAATGTTAGCTCAAAATCATCTAAAACAAACTTTAAGAAAAATCCTTCATGTTAAGCAAATGAACTTCTATTTTTTCACTCAGGTGAGAGTTCACCTACTAGGCCTCTGCAACACCCTAACATTTCTAGAGGCTCATTTGAACCACACTTGTTATCAGTGCAGTTACTCTGAGAAGGCTCCACACCATACTGCCCATCAGCAGTCTTCCCACCTAGCCCTAAACATCCACAAACACCTCAGTAGACCAGGGGAGAGCAAGGCAAGGAAAGAGGATAAAATCAAGAGACCAAAAAGGCACCTGCTTCCTATTCTCCCACACTCCACTGTATTAAAGATGCCCAGTACTCTGTAAATAAACCACGGGCTCCCCTCCCATGACCCCAGGGACAGTCACTGCTCATCACTCCTGTATGTTCTCCAGTGAGCCATTCTCTCTCCAGGGGGGGTCACAACTAGAGTTGAAAAACATGTAAAATTCATCTTCCACCGGATTCATAACACTTGTTGAATGAGGCAGATAAAACAATAAAGCAATACCAGGCATGGTGGCACACAGCTGTAATCCCAATGCTTAAGAGGCTGAAGTCAGAGCAATGCCATAAATTTGAG